GAAGGGTACAAAAGCAAAATCAGCTATCTTCATTTTTTCAGTATATTATATTTAATTGATTTATATCGGTAATGTGAATTAGATTAAAATATTTTTAATTTTTTGTTCACCAAATACAAAATAATAAAACTTCACACAAGCTGTAAAATATCTTTGGAATTACAGTTTTTTATTATTTATATTATGTTAGTTAGTTTGAAAGGAGGATATACATACATCATATATATCAAATCCGAAGAAATGCACCTAGTCCTCTATCGGGCCTGTTGTGCACTCCTTAACCAGTGCCTCAGGTGGGAATCGAACCCACCACTTCCGGTCTACCAGACTAGAACGCTAACCACTAACCTTTATTATAAATCACAAAACGGTAGATTACTACCTTTGTTTCTATACCTTTCAAATCTATGTATGTATTTGTATGTCGTATCAGGAAAATGCTTATGTTATATGTATGTGTTTGCGTATTTGTATATGGGGAATTTCTTCAAAACTTATTTATTATTTAGTAATCATTTGTGACAAATAAATATTTAAGACATATCAACAATATTATAAACACACACACAAACAATCGTAAAAGTAAATACAAATTAAATTAGACGTTCAATTAATTATTATATCACTTATACGTAACGTTTGTTTGATTTTTTGTTATAAAAAAATATATCATTGCAATTAGCAACATTTTCTATATAATTTAATAAAATATATTTTTGTGGAATTCTTGTACATTTTCACATCCTACACCACTATTTGTATCACCCAAAAATGTTGGTCCTACATCCATCTTAAGGTATATCAACTGGCTCAGAATCACTTTCTGAGTTGATTTAGCTATCTCCGTCTGAGTGTCCATGTAAACCTTGTGCGCAATCTACAGGTCGTAATTTTCAAGATAAGCACGAAGCCTATAGAAAATTGCTTAAATCGGTCCATTATTTCGTATAGTCCGTACCCCTCGCATATTGTTTTTGAGCTCACAAATATGTTAAATGTTCTTGTATCACTTTTATATAAGTCTTAGTGATACTGCTTACTTCTTAGTTTAGATGTGCCTGAAATTGATCTGGTTGCTTAAGTTTCTTTAACACTTCTTTTAAAATTCGTTAAATTTAAATAATATTTCTCCGGAAAAAACTTAGTAATCATAAAAACAACAAAACAATTAACAATATTTTTATTAGCTATTATAAAGATTTTTTTGCATTTTTTACTGTCACCACTTTATAACTCTAAAAAGTTATAATGACTCTTGTAAATCTTTGGATAAGCCATCTAAAATATTCCATTAATACAATATTTTATGAGACAGACATCATATTTTTCGTGTTTTTTTCTCCTTTTTGTTACGCGATGCAGGTTAAATTGTTGTTCCAGAATTGTAAAACGATGGATGCAAATATCTAGGTTATGACAAGCATAAAAAAAACAACCAACACATCTAAAGAACTCAACAACAAGTAAATAATAAAAAAAAATGAATCACCCTTCCCGTTTTATGTGTGCTGTGGGTTGCCGATGGAATAATAAATTTATAGAATAATGAAAAAAGTTATATGAGTAAATAAAAATATTTATATGGTGAACAAAATTATAATTTAACCAATTGAATGCTAAAATTTTGTTAAAATGAACAAGCATGTATGTATGTATGTATGTTTAATTTTTTTGAGAAGTTTTCTGTTCTTTACAAAATATTGATAAACAAAAACCAATTGAGCAGAACACCTGGATTTCCCGAGAGTAGTTCATAAAACGAGAATTACTTACAGAAATTGAAAAAATTAAAGTGAACACTCCAATGAATGGAATTTGATGCGAAATAAAAAGCAAAAACAGCCCCAGCAAAAACTCGCATTGAAAAGTAAGTTAAAATATTTAAATTTCATTTACACAAAACCATTTCATTATTGTTTCACGTTGATAACATTAGAGGCAAGTGCTTACTACGCTAGCTTACAAATGGGGAGTCAGCTAAGTACTTACTATGATTGCTTGTAAAGAATAAGTTAAGTAAGTAGTTTTGTTCTTAAGACAAAAAAGGGACTACGACGATACCTCTACTGCGTCCAATATTAGTTTAAAAAAAATTATATTTTCCGTTTGTTTAAAAACAAAATTCCAACAAGTAACAGTTCAATATTCGCCTTTGCCGAATCTTCTACACCCTTCACCATAGTGTGTTTAAATAAGTTTAATTTTATAACATTTCAATATATTTTATATATTTTTCCAACTCTACCTATACTTTAGCAAAACAAAACATAAAACAATAACAACTAACGCCAAACGAAAATAACAATCGGCTTAGAAACACTTTGTGTCGATTTAGCTATGTCCGTCTGTCTGTCCTTCCGCCTGTATGACCGTCGGTCTGTCTGTCCGTCTGTGTGTCCATGTAAACTTTGTGCGCCCTCTACAGGTCGCAGTTTTCTAGATAATTGGAAATTTGGTACATACTCTTCTTTTGACTCAAGGACGAAGCCTATTGAAAATGGTTAAAATCGGTCCATTATTTTGTATAGCCCACATACAACCGTACACCCACCTTAATGATACTGCTGATTTTCGCCTTATTTGACCCTATCCCCCATACAAAGTCCCCTTCAGTAAATGACTTTTAAACACTAATAACACGATGATATTCTGCATAAATAACTAATGTAGACATAAATTCTTCTACCAAAATTTATAAGGACCCTATAAGGAACCCCCTGTCCCCAATTAACCCTCTTTTTGAAAATCGTTCATTTGTCAACAAATTGTTAAAATATTTCTGAATTAAGGTAAAAATTAAGTTAAATATTGTTGAAAAATAATCAAAATTTTTAACATAATCACTTGTGTAGGGTATAATATAGTCGGCCAGGCCCGACTATAAATTCTTACTTGTTTTTTTATGAAATTTTCAGAGGTTGTCTCGGATTTTTGCTCATATCTCCGTTATTTATTAACGGATTTTGCTGATTTAATATAGGAAATTTCTCGAATCTCTGGCAGACAGACAGCAGACAGGCAGACGTACATGGCTTAATCGACTCCGCTACATGTCGCAAAATTATATTGTGGAAATTATAAACGGAATGACAAAATTATATACATACATGTACCCTTCTCACGAAGGTTTAGGGTATAAAAACAGAATGTTAAGGCTAACACGTAAGTACTTACTTATAATATTATTGGTAAGTCATTACTAGACTCTTTCTAAGTAATGAAGATGATATGTAGTAGTCACTGAAATGCAAGTTGTTAAGTAAGTACAAGTTATTACCATGTTTTTGCTGGGACAGTTCTTATTATAATCTCTTTAAAATTTGAAGAATCTTATTAAAAAATTGAATAATTTTTGAAACATCAAAAGATATGTTATTTTAAAGAGAACCGTTAAACACTTTTAAAGCTATAGAGTTGCCACAGTTTTCAACATTTAAATGAAAAAAAGTTTTCTTTACATGTTTACAAAATATTATCCAAATTAACTCAGCTATATTCTTAACAGAAACTTATATTCAATTTGCACAGAATAATTGAAATTTTTAACCAAATCTATCTAATTAACGAAATTATTTTAAATTTCTTTCCCTATATACTATATTACTACTAATTATTGTTGTATTTATAATTAAGTTCAAAAACCTCTCATAATATTGCGTGCATAACTTCCCCCAATTTATAAATATGTACTAATTGTAAACAAACGTCAAAGTACTATTATTTAAAACAACAACAACAATACTACCAAAAAGACATTAGCCAAAATTGACCACAATAAAGAGAGTAAAGTTTGTATTTAATCTACAAACAAGAGCGCTCAAATTAAAGAAGAAGTTACGATCATTCTTGAATTTTATTATAACTTAGCCACAGTATGAGTAAGAGTCTCAAAAAAAAGCTTTTTATTTGTTTGTTCAAATTACTAAGAGCGTAGAAACAACAAAATTATCACACAAGAAATCACTGCCAAATGATGTTTTCTCTACAGCACACATACCGAATATGGAATAATCAAAACGGGAGAATATTCGAAGTAAACAGCGAACACACACATGGCAAAATAGAGAGAGAGACACTTAAGAACATGTACGAACGAGTAGAAATTTAGAACTTTTCAACTACAACATGTTGCCAGTAGCTTTATTTAGGCCCTCTACACACTGATCTTTTAGCAACATCTTAACCAAAAACTAAACTACGAACATTAACAACAATAACAAAAGTAACAACAGCAGCTGCTGCGATCAGGGCAACAATAACTTTGGCAGAATTACAAACTGTTCGTACTGCTGGCCGCTAAGTAAGACAGACAGACAGCAGAGGGCTTTTGCTCAGAAGCAAACACAAAAATTTTAATTTAAGTTTCACATTTCGCACAATATTCCATTCTACAGCAGCAACAGCAATATTTATACAAACAACAAGTGTTTGTAGTAAATTGGAAATTTTGTTCTTTATTCTGCCCAATTGGAGAGGGCTTAAGGTATGAGTGCGTGAGTGTGTGTATGTGTATGTAAGAGTGTTGCGTAGCCCGATCACTTTAAAGTTTAAACAACACACGATTTAACTAACAATCCTCCAGTCATCATTATCATCACCATCGTTGACTTTAATAAAAAAAAAAACAACAGCAGCAACAACAGCAAAAAATTAAAGAAAATCAGCAACAAATTCCACATCATTCAGCAGAGTTACAATTCAGAACAGAATAAAACTGAACACAAGAATCAACGACGCGAAGGTATAAAAGAATCCAACATTTTGAGTTTTAGGAGAATTATTTAACAAACGGTCGGTGGGAATTGAGTGAGTGTGAAGTAAATGAACGATTCCTTAACATTACAATTCCTTCGTGCGAATTTGTGGATATTAAAAAAAAAGATAAATAAATAATACGGTTTAATTAAAAAGTGTTTAATTAAAGTATTGAAAAGTGAAATAATTTTTTTAATATAAAAATAAAATTTGAAAAAATAAATTTCAAAAATTGTGCAAATTTTATAACAAATAAAATAATTACCATTAAAAATAGCCGTTACAAAATTGTTAATAAAAATTTGTATGTGATAAATTCATTTGAAGAAATTTCAAAACTTGCCATATAAAAATGACATATTAAAAAAATTAAATTCATTAAAAATTTCTAACTTCATATATAGTTATAGGTGAGTGTTATTGTCTTAACGAAAATGAGAAAAAATATTAATTATTAAATTATAATTCAATAACAATAAGTTCCCACATTAAGTTTACAATGTAACAGTGAAATTAAAAAATAAATACAATTTGCAAGCAATATACATAAATTTGTTAATAAATTATTACTAAACTGAATCGAATTAATTATTATAGTGATTATTTTAAAAATAAAATAATATATTTATATAAAAATAAATCTCTAAAATGTGTAAATAATTATAGATTAGGTGAAATGTATAATGTGTTAATGACTCTAATGATGTGAATTGGTTTTGAAAGTATTTCCCTGAAATATATATATTTTTTTGTATATAAAAATAGAAATATATATTTATTTTTTTAATATTATTTTTGCTACAAATTTTCTATTAAATATACTTTTTTTAATTTATACTTAATTAAAAAAATTAGTTTTTTTAAAAAATAAAAAAAGTTAAGAAAATATAAAAATTTTATAAAAAAAATAAAATTGCTAAAATAAAAAAAAATATATATATATATATTTTTATTAAACCATAAAACTTTTCAAATTTTCTCTTAATTTCACTGATTTTTAAAATGTTTAAGAAATCTTAAAATTTTGAAAATCTGAAAATTTCTATTGAATTTTAAAGTTTTGGAAATTTTTTATAAATGTTAAAAATTTTCTATAAAATACAAATATTTTTATGAATTTTGGGAATTTCTATAAAATTTTATAAAAATTTAAATTTTCTAGAAAAATTTAAAAATTTTTATAAAATTTAAAATTTCTAAGAAAATTTTGAAAATTATTTAACATTTTAAATTTTCCTTAAATTTAAAATTTATTTATCTTCTTCCGCTATATTAAAAGAAAAACATTTTTCTAACTTAAATTTTTTTATAAAATTTAAAAAAATATGAATAAAAATTTTATAAAAAAAAAAAATAAAATTTTAGAAAATTTAAAGATTTGTTGAAATTTTATAAAAGTTCTAGTAATTAGGAATGTTGTATAAAATTTGAAAATTTCTATAAAATTTGGAAATTAATTTAAAATATAAAAAATATTAAATTTCTATATTTTTTTCTGAAAAATTAAAAAAAAATATTTATTTTTTTATAAAATTTGGAATTTTTTTTTTAAATATCAATAATTTTATAAAAAATAAAGTTTAAACTAGAAACAGAATAAAAATAATTTCAACTTTTTTAAAGTAAACAAGTAAGAGTATTATATTTGTCTATGCCGAATCTTATATACCCACCATCAAACCGTATACCATAAAAGGAATAATCCCCTATAAACATCAGGGTAGTATTTGAAATTGGGCTTATGTCAATTATGGACCGAGCTCTTTCGAATTAACAAAACATTTTTGTCCAATTTTTAAACCATGAACATGTCGTAAAATTTGGTTGAAAGATTTCATCGCTATTCTCGTATTTTTAATTAAGGAATATATGGGCTATTGTTAGTTACAGACCAATCCTCATTGAATTCGGAATGAAGACTTATGATCCTATAAAACTTTTTTATGTCGATTTTCATTCTGTACTCGTAACTTTCTGAAGGTGACTTTATATATGAGGGGTAGGTTCAATTATAGACCAATCCTCATAAAATATATTCGTATTTTGAAATCAGTAATAAGCGTTGAAGTCATTTTCGGAAGAGGACCTTATATGAGGAGTAGGGTCAATTATGGACCTATCCTCATAAAATTTTGTAGAAAGATTGTGGGTCATATGAAACTTATTTATGTCGAATTTCGCTGCTATATTCGTATATTTAAGTCAGTAATGAGCGTTAAAGAAATTTTCGGAATGGGACCTTATATGGGAGTAGGGTCAATTATGAGCCGATCCTTGTAAAATTTGGAAAGGAAATATTTAGTCATACGAAACTAATATCAGGCTTAGGAGGTAATGACTTCATTTTCAATTACATTTACAATTGAAGTAATTGTAATTGAAGCATTACCAATTACAATTACACGTAATTGTAATTAAAGTTTTGCCAATTACAATTATTTTTAATTGTAATTGAAGTTTTTCCAATTACAATTACTTGTAATTGTAATTGAAGTTTTGCCAATTACAATTACTTGTAATTGTAATTGAAGAAATTACAATTACTTGTAATTGTGAATTTTGTTCCTTGAAAATTTCAATTACAAATACAAGTAATTGTAATTGGCAAAACTTCAATTACAAATAATTGTAATTAGTTATTTGTCAATTACACATTACAAGTAATTGTAATTGGAAAAATTTCAATTACAATTACATGTAATTGTAATTGGTTATTGTTCAATTACACATTACAAGTATTTGTAATTGACCATGTAATTAATTACTTTTTGTAATCATTACCCCCCATGCCTGACTAATATATGTCGAATTTATTCTCTATATTCGGTCTTTTATGACACAACTTTTATAAAATACCGAATAATGTATTCCGAGGGGGCACTTGTATGGGTGCTAGGTGAAAACATCGGCCAATACTGCCCATTTTCAATACAAAATGCAGTATTAGAGAATATTTGTGCAAAATTTCAGGTCCCCAGCTCTTTTCGTTCAGTCTCTATCGTGCTTTCAACAGACAGACGGACGGACATGGCTAGATCGTCTTCGAATTTAATAAGGACCCAGAATATATACATTTGTGGGTCTATAACCAATATTTCGATGTGTTACAAACAGAATGTCAAAATCAATATACCCCCATCTTTTCAGATGGTGGGTATAAAAATTTCTGTTAATTTGAAATTTTCTCCGATATTTTAAAATTTCAGCGAAAATTTCAAATAAATTCGAATTAAATTTTTATGAATTTTTAAAGAAAATTAAAAAATTGTATTAAATTGAAAATTTTCCAGGAAATTGTTTGAAATTTTATATGAATTTAAAATCTTTAAAGTAAATCAAATTTTTTTATGAAATTTAAAAAAAATTTCAATTTTTATGCTTTCTTCCGCTGAATTTAAATTCCCATTAAATGACTTGAAATCCATATTTAGAATTTTTATACAAATCACCACAATATGAAATAATCGCATGATTTCTGCATAGTAAAACAAAAAAAAGTAAAAATAAAAATAGTATTTAAATAAAAAATGTTAATTAAAGTATTGAGAAAAAAATTAATATTTAAACAATAATTTGACTTTGGCATTTCCCTTTTATTAAAACGCCACTATTTGTTAGTGGCCACACTGAACTTGAACTTCAGACACGCCACAAATATGGATTGTCCCATCGAATTTGAACAAATAAAGAAATCATTAACCATGTAACAGAAAAGGAAATAAATGAATTAAAAATTTTTAAATACTTTTTAATAAAATTATTTATTTTAAGCTTAACAACAAGCTTTTTATTGTAATGAAAATGAAAACATTTGAATTTCACAGCACGTAAATTGTGGATACGAAAAAAAAAAACATTTTTTTGGCTTTAATGGTGAGTGAGTGTGGTTTTTTAGCGGTGATTTTTTTTGTTTGGTTAAATTGAAAATAATTTTTTCTTTTTATTTTAATTGAGACTATTGTTTAAATATAAACTTAAAGTTCTCAAGTACTTAAAATAAAATTTAAAAATCCTTATTAAAAGAATTTAAAATAGAAATTTCTGTTTTTTTTACGAACTTAATATATGTAGTTAAAGAATTATTTGGTTTTTCTGTGTTTTTTTCTTTCCTTGGTCATTTTCATTTTTTTAAACAAACAACTGCTGTTGCCGTTCGATTGGTTTGTGATGGTTTTCAATATTGACTGTTGTGTGACTGTTTGAAAATGAACGACAAGGATAATGACCACACTACGACTATGCCAATTGCAATTGCTAGTACTGCAACGGCAGCCAATGAGTAAGTCAACTAGCCAGCGACCACATTCTACAATTTACTTTCCTAAAGTCATACAGTTAGTAAATCACATTCATTCAATTGTATATGAAAGCATAGTCCAATAGTTTTACGGGTCTTCTCAAATGTCTCACTACTAGGTTATGTGTTATAGAGGTAGAGTACACTTTATTCTGTACTCTTAATTAGTTACATCATTCATGCTAAAGTAATGAGTCTCGTACAAAGCTAAAACTGTTACCAGAGTAACTCAAAATGTCAAAAACCCCCCGAACTGCAGGGTTAAAAACATACATATGTATTTGTATGAATTTTTGTATGTGCATGTATTTGAAAGGAAGTTGAAAATAAACACAGATTCTCTCAAGCACATGTATGCACATAATTTCCCCTGACCCATAACATTTTGATTTTATATTCGATTTATATTCGTCATACACTCGAGGTAATATTGAAGTTATTAATTAAGAAACTGAATTTAATGCTATGACAGTTTAGGAACACTAATACTGCCAAATGTGCTTTTTTTTAGTAAAAGCTTAGCTTAATTTCATGTTTTTAGATTCAATATTATAGAAATTTCAAAAAGTCCCCTTTTATAGGTTCTCATTTACTATGAACTCTACATGAATAATTTCATATTTCTAGGTTCAATATTATAGAAAGTTCAAAAAGTACCTTTTGAAAAAATAACAAGTAAGAGTGTTATATTCGGCTGTGTCGAATCTTGTATACCCACCATCAAAACATTGCCGAATAGGAATGCTTCCTTATAAATAAACTTTGATATTTAAGAATCGATGCTTTTGTTATTATCAAAACAATTTTCTCATTCATTACATCTATGTATAATTTTACCATCATACATATTATGTATATCGATAGGATCAATTATGGACTGATCCTCCTAAAATTTGGTAGAGAAATTTTCAAATTTTCTAGAACGATTTTAGTTTAGGCTAGTAATGAGCGTTAAAGCCATTTATGAAGGGGACCTTATATGGGGGATAGGGTCAATTATGAACCGATCCTTATAAGATTTTACAAAGCGATTCATGTTGAATCTCATCGCTATATATGCTTCTTTTGGACAGTTATGAGCGTTAAAGTAATTTTCTGAAGGGGACCTTATAT